CCCGAAGCCGGTCCGTGGAGACGTCTCCGTCGGGTACTCTCCTCTGCCGGGCAACTCGGTTCGTCGAGACTATCTCCCCACAGCAGATTCGAGCACCTCGACCTCAACTAAACAATAACGAAATCTTACGAGAGCCTTGACATAACTATACGAATCAACCCGAGAGCGTAGCTTCTGAGCAGGGTGGCGACCCGAAGGGAACCAGAAATCGAGAACGTTATCTATATCGGTAACCGGAGCCGCCTTGGGACCGTGATTCGAAAAATCACGTCACACAGTACACATATAAAATGTACTTTTATGATGATAATGGTGATTATTGATAAAATATATGTAAAAAATTTATTGAATGTAATAAATCAAGCAATAATTTGTTCAGCTAAGGTAATGCTAAAGTACATGGATCGTACTGCGGACCCGTGCCAGGATTTTTATCAATACGCATGCGGCAACTGGGCTAAACGTAATCCTATACCCAAGGATAAGGCCGGATATGACACTTTCGAAATGCTCCGGGAATCTCTAGATTCCGTTCTGAAAGAACTCCTAGAGGAACCGATACTTCAGTCTGCAAAGGCTAATCCAGATGATGCTACCGTTAAAGCAAAACATCTTTTCAAGAGTTGCATGAACTACGGTGAGTCTCAATGATATTCGAAAGAGAGTTATATATAGAAAAGATAATAAAGCAATTGTTTTAATTAATCAACAAAATTATGGAATATTAAACACATGAACTATATGATTACATTACATAAATCTTGGATTAACTGATAACTCTTTTGAATGAAAATGGGTTACAGTTTCTGTATTCAATTATTCCATGTTAACAGCGTTTTTATCTATACTTTTCGGTCCTTTTCCAAAAGTTATGTTTGTGAAATACGGAGAATGTGTCCTTGCAAGATGGTCAATCCGATTCTTCCAATTCTTTTCCAAATACTTATTCTTTTCTTCTTCACAAAAGGCCACATATTTACACTCGTTGAATTATTTATAAACAATTCTGACTGAAACCAAATGTGATTTATGTTTTATGATGCTTTATTTCAATTCAGTTATGATCAATATAAAATCTTATGAAAACTCTGCCTAAATATTCCCAAAAAATTTGTACATCAGTTTGTTTAAAATTTTTAACAAAATTATAGTCTCAATTAATTAATATACAGGGTTTCCCATACTTAATAAGCTTTATGTCACGATGTTAAACTTCGAAGAACTTTGAATTAGTGAACGTAATTTTAATTTTTGTCCTGCGATCAGTCTCAATCGTGTTCGCCTAGTAAGTAACTCTGTTTCACAGTTTCTATTGATCACATTGTATAACTGCAGTTTAGTGAATTAACAATTATTCCACATAATAGAGAGACGTGGCCTGAATGCCGTCTATATTTATTCAATAATAAGGCATATGTTGTTTTTTGAATTTTTAATTTTCTCTAAGTTAATATCAGCAAAAGGACCACCATTTGTCTGAATACATAAAGGATCCACTTTTAATGATTTTTATAATTACAGTAAATAATACTTAGATCAAGGGACTCGGTCGAGTCTCGCAGAGACTCTTTATCCGAGTAAACTCTTATTATACCAGTGTTTGGAACGAAATATCTCACGAAACGCTATATTTCAGAAAGAGTTATTAACACATTCACTATAGAAATTGAGGGTTCTGAATTGATTGCTACCAAGTTCAACACGATTAGTGCCCGAGATTAGGGCGTTTTGAGATGGCGAGCGAGATGATTTTATTTCAGTTCCGTCGTCGTCGTCGTCGTCATCGTCGTCTTCGCACGTCCATCTACTTTTTCAAACGACAGATGGCGCTGACTGCTTTGCCTTCTTTGTACTCTGGATGGTGCTGGTAATTTACTAATACACAACACAATCAGATGCACTTTGTACGTGAATCTACCGTTCACAATGAATTTCCAGTTAATATAAGGCTGCTTTCACAATAGTATAGAATTATTAAGCCTTTAATAGCATTCATGTGGAGCACGTGTGCATGGGTGTACATATATGTGTGCTTCGACATAGTTTCTCGTATTTTCAGTGACAGTTTTTAGAGATATAGGATGTCCAGGTGTTCCTCACCGTAGGTTCCTGTATCTAGGTGTCAGACGTAGAAGTTCAGGGTATCCAGATGTTCCGCTCCGTAGTTTCTTGTATCTAGGTGTCGGATGTGGAAGTCCAGGGTGTCCAGATAAGTGTGCAACGAGCGACGCTTTGGCGCTTCGCTCAAAATATAGTATCCTCTCTGTTGTTCGCACGGTCTAAGGTATGTAAGTAATCTAGCACACTCTCCTCTCTTACGTTTACCTCACGGCTTCAACAAGCTAGACACCATTAACGACGCTTATATGCATTCAAGATTACATTTTCTTTAAACATTTGTATATATCATTTGATTTCAGTACTTAAAGCTTTGATATCCCGTTGAGCAACGAAAACTTGTGATATCCCCCAAAAAACACTTACGTGTGAAAAATTACGCCAAGTACAGGAGTGCTGTGAATTCCTCTAATAAAAAGTATTGACATCATATTATTGAATCAACCGCAAGTTATTGATAACTCAGTTCAGTTAGCAAGTAATTCTGTTTCCCCCAAAAAACACTTATGTGTAACAAACTACGCCAAGTACAGGAGTGCTGTAAATTCCTCTAATAAAAAATATTGAAATCATATTATTGAAGCCGATTACGTAAGTCACTACATGTTTGCCTATTATATGATCTAGCACTGGTCCATCATTTTAATTGTATTTTCAAAATTTCCCATAACGTTTTCGCTGCTCTTTTACATTATTACTGTTACCCATAGTTGATTATGATTTAATGGTCATTTAATGATTTATAAAACTTTAGGTGATTCCTTATCGAGTACTACTTGGCGGGTTCGTGCCAGAAATTCCAAAATACTTATTTGAACGTACTAATGGTATTCTAAAATTTTATGTTTGTTATTAAGCTTTTACCGTGACTATTTTTGACGAGTTATTGTTAATATGCCCTATATAAAAAGTTGACACTGGATTTGAGTTTGACGACTAGCATAATGAACGTAAATTATATCAAGAAATGCGCGGACCCGCTAAATACTACTCGATAAAGAATCACCTAAAGTTTTATTAATTATTAAATGACCATTAAATCATAATCAACTACGGGAAACAGTAGTAATGTAAAAGAGCAGCGAAAACGTTATAGGAAATTTTGAAAATACAATTAAAATGATGGGCCAGTGCTAGATCATATAATAGGCAAACATGTAGTGACTTACGTAATCGGCTTCAATAATATGATTTCAATATTTTTTATTAGAGGAATTTACAGCACTCCTGTACTTGGCGTAGTTTGTTACACATAAGTGTTTTTTGGGGGAAACAGAATTACTTGCTAACTGAACTGAGTTATCAATAACTTGCGGTTGAGACTGAATGAGTCATAAGGGTAACGTGCGCATATTCATTTTTCATTTTCATCTTAGCATATCCCAATTCTTCAAAGTTTAACATCACGCTATAAGGTTCATTAATTCTGAAATACCAGAACTATATAAGAAACTTTAGAAGGGTAATTTATGGACTATCAACTAGTCAAATAATATTTACTGATTTAATAATAACGTGAAATCTAGTACTAATATTAATCAACACTATTCTAATTTTGATACTGCGGCCTAGAGGTCTTGGAGCAACGTATGGAGAAACCATTGGTTGAACTCCTCGAAGAATTGGGCGGTTGGCCAATTTTACGACCTAATTGGAATTCAGAGAAGTTCGATTGGCTCCTTCTTGCTGCCCAACTTCGACTTTATAACAACGACATTCTTATTTCGGAATGGGTAGGACCTGACATCAAGAACAGCGACCAATATGTCATCCAGGCATGTTTTTTTTTCAAAATTTGAGAGCCTTTTTTCGTTTACGTAGGCTATCAAAAATAACTTGTTAATTAAATCTTTGATCAATATCATATACTGTTATTATATATCGTACTCTAGGGGAACAGTGTCGGAGACGGCATAGGGAATAACATCGGAAAATGTATGTCGTCTTAGATACCTTTTCCCTACATAAAGGATATACATATTGACACAAGTGATTTTGTGCTTCGAAAAGAAAAATAAGATGTTGCATAGTAACGACGCTCCATTTTTTATGTAATAAAATATCTGTAATAAATATTTGCACTATTTTTCAATACTAACGCTTTTCACAATATAATTTGAAAATAAAGAATTCCGATATTTTTATTATATGAAACATTTCGACATTCGTTATTAAATTTTAATGACAGAACCACACAAATCTTGATAATTGAATTTGATCAAATGTTTTGGCAGTTTGATCAAACATCCCTTGGGTTACCAACCCGAGATTATTTTCTTCAACCATCAAATTTCATCTACCTTGAAGCTTACAAAAATTACCTGATTAAAATTGCAACCCTTCTTGGTGCTCCGACTGAAAACGCTACGATCCACGCTGATGAACTCATTGAATTTGAAACAAAATTAGCAAAAGTAAGTTTATTTGTTTTTATTTCATTGTTAATCAGAAGCATGTGAAAGTATCATTGCAATTGAAACAAGACGGTGTGCGTACACGTTTCGATACTTACTGAAAATTGCAAACGAAACACTTAAGGTATTACTACGGTAAACTCAAAACCGCGTAATCGAGCTGAAATTTGGTTTACGTCTAATTTGTATAACAGTACATCTCTCTACAAATTTTTAACACGATTCACTCATCCATTTCCGAATATTTCCGAGTTAAAGTCAGGACTCGTAACACGTATTACCCATACCTGGCCAATAAAACGTGCATGGTTTTTTTTTAATTGCATTTAACTCGTCCGCGTAATTTCGATGAAAAGCTAGTATGTGGCAAAGGAAAAAATTAGGAATTTTTTAGATTTTTAGTAAGAACTTTTTACCCATAGGATTTATTGATAGACATGAAAGAAGTCGATATTTATTACGAAATCTCTCGTACGACGGCTGACAAGAGAGCGTCGGTGTATATAAGTATACACTACTACATCCACTGTGAGACCGTACCCGATGCATATACCTTTTCGGTCCGTAGTAATACCTTAACCCGTTTACTAATAGAGTCTCGGAGGAAAATCCACCACCACAGCCCAGATGTTTTATTATTTTAATATGATAGCAATTGTCATTAATTTTTGTAGGATATATTTATAATATTCTAAATAAGTGAAATAAGCAATTTTACAAACTGATACACATATGTGATGCTGGGCTCAGGTAAGAAAGTCGAGGAGTCACGTATTATATATTGTGACAAATGTGTCCATCAGCGTCGTCTACAAATGATCTGTGGCTGCTCACAACGTGCTGAAATCGAAAAAAAGATCCAAAATCTAATTGTTGGGCGCCAGGTGCGGCTTCCCCGCACCTCCATCCCTCACCACGGCCGTTTTTCACATTTCCCGGCGGCTCAGCCTCAGCGCACTGAAACTGGTAGAGAGGAACATGCGGGCGACGACAGAGAATTTCAGAGTCAGCGGATAGGCGCCCAAAATGATTAGACAGCGAGTAGAATACCGTTTCGTTTATTACCATTAAATAAACGGCGGATTTTACAATACAAATCCCGTAGCGAACAGTGTGTTCCCCAACGGCGGCTCACGACTATTCCGAGTCGTGGTGTGTAGCCTGCCCAAGACCTGTCCCTACCTCGGTGTATCTACCGAACCGCGAATCCCCTCGCGGCGCGATTCGCGATCTTCGCAGGTCTCGTTGGAGACGAGCGTTTTCTTCCTCGGGAGTGTGCCCTCCGACGTCGGTAGCCATCTAGGGCATCCGTGTGTCCGCACCACTCCCACTCGGCTATCCTCTCGCGCAAGATATTCTCTAAATAAGACCGTTCTCGCGGTACTTACCGAGAACTGGCTGTCCCATCCGTCCCTTAACCAAAATCCAAATTGTGGTGGCCGTGTCCCGTCCGCCTATCCCCGTGGTGCCACATCCCGGCTGTACGAGGGTGTCCACCAAAAACTCGGAGTTTAACACACTTGGCCACACACCAGCACTATACTATACAAAAAATAACCGGGAGCCATGGTTCTCTGCGAGAAGTCTCGATAATCGCAATCCGCGATTATCCGATATATCCGCTATCGCCCGAGCACGGAAGAAGAACTCATTTTCTCGCGGTCCACCGGACACCCGAGTCCTTACACATGGACTCCCCGTGACACACTCTTCTTCTCCTACCTACCGCTCTCCGCGGTAGGTCAAAAATCAAAACATTCTCCTCTCCGGCGCCCTCTCCTCGGACCCGCAAACCGTAGCTAGTCAAAGTTCCTGGGGTACTGGCAGTGCGTCCCGGCGGTTGAGCACCCCTTACATGCGGGTTCTCAACCCAAAAAGGGCCCCGTGCCTCCGCCGCCGGTCCACTACTTTCCCCCGTTCCCTCCTCCCGAACCACGAATCAACGAACTCTTTGGAGATGGTGGCCGGAGGCACGGCCGTGCAGCGAGTCGGCAGCGTGTCGGCAGCGCGTGTCCACTACTTTCCCCCGTTCCCTCCTCCCGAACCACGGACCTACGAACTCCTTGGAGATAGAGGTCGGTGGTACTGCCGTGCTGTCGGCAGCGCGCGGAGGTGCGGGGCTTTTGTAATGTGTCGTCCTGACGCCACGTTACAATATATACAGGGTTTCCCAAAATTACCTGACCAACGGGGTATGGCGGTGTTCGGGAGGCACCACTGATCACGAAAATGACCTAGGAGGTCGGGGTGTCTTTGGAAGATCTCCCCCAAAAAAAAAAAAAAACGGTTAGATAAGAATTCCAATGCTGTCACATCACAAGTTCGTCGTTTTTTTTTTAAACATTAGCTTGCTATTGTGAACGCCCTTTGATTTTTCGTGTCTCCAAAGTATTCCTTAGCCAAAAGTATATACAGGGTGTCCTAAAATTACCTGACCAACGGGGTATGGCGGTGTTTGGGAGGCACCACTGATCACGAAAATGACCTTCCTTTTGTCCGGAAGGTCATAGTTTTTAAATGGGAGACGGTCAAAGTTGACCAATCAGAACGAGGCGTCAAGAGAAACGTTTTCACTTACGAACTCTGAGTTTTCTTCCCTCTTTTTGTTTCTCGGTGGCTTCGGGCAGGATGACGTCAGCCGAAGACATGCCTATTGGAAACCAGAAACAAGCCACCGAGAAACAAAAGCGAGGGAAGAAAACTCAGAGTTCGTAGGTGCCTACGTTTCTCGTGACGCCTCGCTCTGATTGGTCAACTTTGGCCTGCTCCCATTTAAAAACTAAGAGCTTCCGGACAAAAGGAAGGTCATTTTCGTGATCAGTGGTGCCTCCCAAACACCGCCATACCCCGTTGGTCAGGTAATTTTAGGACACCCTGTATATACTTTTGGCTAAGGAATACTTTGGAGACACGAAAAATCAAAGGGCGTTCACAATAGCAAGCTAATGTTTAAAAAAAAAACGACGAACTTGTGATGTGACAGCATTGGAATTCTTATCTAACCGTTTTTTTTTTTTTGTGGGGGAGATCTTCCAAAGACACCCCGACCTCCTTGGGGGG